CAGGATTGAGAATTATTGTGCCCCTAATCTCCCATTCCTAAAGCAAGTTAATAACCTGTACCAGTCAGGATAAGCTAGGTTATGGTACAATAGCAAACAATGCTGGAATGTCAGTGTCTTAACAACAAAATTTATTATCTGCTTATATAATATCTACTGTAGTTGTAAGTATGCTTCTGGGCATCCCTTTGCATTTCTAGGAATTTTATAGGCACTGAGGTAGAGTAAGAGAAGGATAGGAAGCTGAGTCCTGGTTCTGAGTCCTGATGCTTACCTAAAGTGACACATATTTCCTCCATTCATAGTATGCACAGTCACACTAATTTCAGGGTGTATATTGGTGAACATCAGTTATGATCACCAACCAGAGCTTTTACCATAAACAAAAGTACAAAGCAAGGAAAAGTCTCATGTATTTACTTTTAAACTTACATAGTGCTTATTACATGTCAGATATTATTTTAATTGCTTTCAAATAGGAACCCTTTTAATCTTCACATCAGACCTTTTAAATGTATCATTCTTATCCTTATTTTACAGAAGGGAAAATTGAAGTGAAATAACTTGCCCTAGATCACATAGCTGGTAAGTGGCAGAAGCAAGATTAAATTCCAGGTGGTTGGGTCCAGGGTTCAAGCATTATAATGCCTCTCTAGTCTGCTTTCTCTCAACTTACATTGAGAGAAAATCCTCCCTGTGTTGGAGGAGTGGAAAGAGGGGGAATGTAGGAGGCTTAAATGTAAGTTTGAGACTTGGTGGGTGCAATGGATTCAGTCATGTTTGCACATTTCACTGCTCAAGCTGGGATAGAGCTTGGGGGTGGGGGTGCATTGAGTGAGGCTTAAGGAGGAGGAAATGGAAAGGGCTGAAGCTGCCGCTGATGAGATCAGCCCCAGAGGCCAGTATGGGGACTATGACCATTTCCTTTTATCTTTCGTCCCATTCCTCCATCAGAGCCACCATTTAGTGCCTACAGATTGCACTTTGGATCTGTACTGAGGTTAGCTCAAAAACAGGAAAAAGGGATGGGGAGAAAAATCATTCCCGAGAGAGTAGTGGTTGGGCCACTTGCACATAAGGGAAGTCAAACAGTAAGTCAAATCAGATCTATTTCTAATGCATTTCTGAAAATTTACAAATAATTATAGCTACTGTCAAATAAACTCTATTTTAACATCTTCAAAGGAGGGGTGTCTGATAAAAGGATCCTTCAGCGAACCAGGGACAATGACCAATTATCACTTCCTAATATATGTTTTCTAAGCCTTCAGTTTTATATTGGTTTCTGTTAACCAATATAAAACACCTGCAGCTCAGTTGGCTTTCATTCTGCTGTGACTTTGGAGTCAGAGAACACTTCTGGGGATTGGAACTCTTGGTTCTTACAGAAAAGGCCTCTATAATTACCTTATCTGAAGGGTCAGGAGAAAAGGATACATGATTCTGCCTTAAAACAGAATTTTTGCAAAAAAAAAAAAAATCAGGAAGAAACTCCTTGTGTGACATTGAAGCTTTTTAATTCCTGTCTCTCTCACCTGTTAAATCTTGTGGCTTGGTCACAACATAGGGCTTGTCTGCAGAACACTTTAAAAACGCCGTATTAGCACCTTGCTGTAATCTGCCAGCACATTCCGTAGCCCAGCCAGCCCATAAGGTGCTGCTGCTCGATCTTCCTTGACTCTGTTTTGATTTGAAACTGTTGCAAGTTGTTGCCAGGGTTTCTCTTCTCTCATGTTGCAATGTTAGTGATGACAATAAAGATCGCTGGATGTTCCTGGTTGTTAGCACACTAAACCCAAGATCAGGTTATTTTCTGTTATTTACAAGAAGCTCTGGCTACAGGGTCAGGGGATCTGATTCTAGTTTCAGTGCAGAGTGCTTTAAAGCACTGTGTCATCTCGGACAGGCGCTTCATCTCTCTGGGTCTCGGTTTCTTTCTCTATAAAATGAATATTTAAATTAGAAGGCGAAGAAAAGCGTGTAACTCAATGATTTGACACTTTATAACTACCAATGTTATTTTAATACAATCATTGAAATAATCCAAATGTTATAATGCTATACAGTTATTAAGAACAAGAAAGAAAGGATGTCACTTTAATTAAATCTGCAGATAGAAATAAATAAGGATCATTCTACCAGTAATTGTGTGACTGTGTCTTAATGGAGTCCAAAATAATGTCCTCTTTGAGAAGTGTGAGCTAATACACCCACAGAGGAATGATTAGAAACAGGGATATATATCCTAGATAGGAAGTGTTGAGAAGCTGAGATTTTAAATCAATACCCAGAGGCGAGATGTGGGCAGCCGATGATGTGCAAAAGACCATATTGGTTTGAAATATTCCCTGTTAATGATGATGATGGAATTATCATGTCATGTTAGGAGGCTTAGAATAGCAATCCATGAATTATATATATTTAAAAAATAAGCCTGCCTAGTCACCACTTCAGCCAATGAATGGCTAATTATTTAGTCTAGGGTCATTTGAATACAGGTCATAAAAGACTCACTAGAGGGGGAACATTCAATTATGTGTTCTAGGCTGGATTGGTGGCAGCAGTTTCAGTTCCCCTCCTGCTGACACATACCCTACCAGGGAGCTGTCACCTGGCCACATCCTCTACTCCTGCTGTGGCAAGATCTCCCTCCTGCTGTGGCAATACCTCCACCCAGATCCAATCTGTGCCTGACTCTCCTGCTATTTAACTAAAGACACCCCAATGCATTTAAAAGACATTCTAATTGTAGGGGCATAGACTCACATAGCCAGCAGTGCCTTCAACAGAAGGCTAGAATAGCTTTGTGTTATTTGACTGAATCTCTTGATTTTTTCTTTTTCTCATAAAAAATCTTAGCAGAACAAACCACTCTTGGTCTCCTGTCGATTTTCTGGATTTGCTCAGCCTCCCAGGCTCTGGGTGAGTGGGTGAAAATTTCAGAGAGAAGCGAGGAAGAGAATGGCCCTAAAGTGAAGCTTGGATTCTAGTTTTGCATTTAACTGTCTTTGGACCACAGGCAGTGGCTCTTACCCTGGTGCTCTGGGGCAAGGGGGAGATGGGAATGGAGGGAGGAGGGAGGAAGGGAGAGAGGGAGGGGAGAGAAGGGGGAGAGAGATCGATCCTATTTCGAGGACGGTGGTGGGTCATCTAGGGACTTCCAAATTCACTCAGACACACCGACCCAGAGGACAGGCGCTGACTCCAGCCTGGAGATGCTATCCCTGCTTCTGGCAACTGGACCCTGATAATTAATTTCTAACGCAGTTTCCTCGCCTCTAACATATTCTGACCCCAACAAAAGGGGACGCACCATCCAACCATCCTTTCGCCATCACCACACAAGACCCCGCTCTGCCACTAGTCACGGACCCAGCCGAAGAGGACTTTTGTCCCCACTCATGATCCTGTGTATGCAACCATTCTTTCTCGACAGGCCCAGGAGGAGCCCCTTGAGGGGAAGTCTTAGATCTGATTTATCAAACTTGAGCCTATACCATATTTACTTGGAAGGCCTGTTAAGACAGATGTTTAGACCCAGTCCCCAGAGTTCCTGGCTCCCTAGCTCTGGGGTAGAATCCAATAACGTTCATTTTAAACAAGTTCTTAGGTGATGCTGACGCTGCCAGTCCGGACCACTTTGAGAACCACTCTTTGGATAAAAGCAGGTGCTGCGGCGTGGGCTCCCTTTTCTTTCGGCTCTCCCACACCTTTGGCACTCACGCCATTTTCCGTGACAGATTCCAGCTTTTGGACTCTTCCTAACGGCTCCACTCTTGTCCCAGGCTCCGAACGCACAGGGGGCGGTCAGAGGCGATCCCTGCTCCGCCCCTACCTTGCGCATCTTCGCCCCGGTCTCCTCCACCGTTTCCCACCGCAAACGCTGCCCTCCTCACTCCCTCGGTCCCGGGTGTGAATTATTCACCCCTCCCCCTGCTTCTCTCACCCAGTGCAACCTTTCCCGCAACTTTGCCGCGTCGGCGAGGCTCGCTGTCCGCCCCCTGCGCTCAGCAGCCCTGGGGACGGTCCCTTGCGCGGCCGCGCGCTCCCCGCGTGCAAAGCCAGCCCGGCTGGCGGGGCTGTTCTGGGCACCGGCTCTGCGCAGCGACTCTGGGAGGCTCCGGCTCCCGCCCGGGTTCCGGCTCCGGGGGGTGGGGCGGAGCGGGTGCCGAGAGCTCCAGCGTTAGGAAGGCTTCGGGCTCCGAAGCCCGGAGGGGGGCAGTAGCAGCGTCAGGTGGCTGCTCAGCGTCCCCGCGCGCCGCCCAGTCAGTCCCCACTCGGCGCT